AACTGCTTGAACCTGGGAGGTGGAGGTTACAGTGAGCCAAGACCGTCACTGCACTCCAGCCTGGGCAACAGAGCGAGACTTCATCTCAAAAAAAAAAAGGAAAGAAAGAAAGAAATTATTGTTACCCATGAAGTGTATTGCACTTTCTTTCATTTGTACCAACCCTGAATCTTTTCTTATTAACCCCTTTCTGAGTAGTGGGATCTTTACAGCTTCGTTTTCAAATTTCCAAGTAATTTGAATAAAATCTTACTATTTTCCCTAGCTCACACTTTATCACATAATAAATTAATTTCTTCTTTAAAAAAAAAATTTTGGTCAACTTTAATATGATTCCTTGGCTGGGTGTGGTGAATTCTGCCTGTATTCCCAGCACTTTGGAGAGGTTAAGGTGGGCAGATCGCTTGAATCCAGAAGTTTGAGACTAGCCTTGGCAATATGGTGAAACCCTATCTCTACAAAAAATAGAAAAATTGCATTGGTGTGGTGTCGGGCACCTGTAGTCTCAGCTGCTGTGGCGACTGAGGTGGGAGGATTGCTAGAGCCCATGAGGTCAAGGCTGATGTGAACTCTGATCACTCTACTGCACTCCAGCTTAGGCAACAGAGAGACCTTGTCTCAAAATAAATAAATAATATAGTTCCTTATGACTTTAGATGACTCAGACTCGGGTCTTGTTCATTTATTTGCTTTTCTTCACTACTGTAAGTGAACATGTAGCAACATGCAGTACATATTTATGGCATACAAAGAGCTGCAAGGACGACCTGGACTCTGAAATCAGTCCCCATCCCTTTGCTGAGCTCACCCTGCACTGGAACTCATGTCCCTCCCCACCTGCCCTGCTACTCAGGAGTGCTGCAGTTGCTGAGGGTCTCTGTCCCGTTGAAACACATTTCTGGGCCAGATAACCCTTGGCCAACAGTGTCTACTGAAGGACTGTTCCTCAGGTGACTTCCAGTGTCTAATAAGGGGAGGGAGTTTGGAAAGAAAGGAACGTGGGGAATATGGAGATCTAAGTGGCATTAAGGAATGGCTGCAAAAGTGAAAAGTGAGAGTTAATGCACCTGAGTGTTCATCAGAAATGGCTGATCTGGTGAGCTCATCAGAATGGAGATGGTGTCTGCTGCTCACTTCTGTAATGGCTGCACCTAGCACAGTGCCTGATCAATAGGTACTTAATACCTAATACCCTAATGAACAGAGTCATATTTTGCCAAGAAGGCAGAAAAGCCACAAATGCCACTGCCTGTGGCAACTCAATGACTGGGGATGTGTGTGAGTAAGCTGAGTGTCAGCAGTGGGGAAAGAGTGAACTGGGGGTGAGAACTAATAAAACATTTAAAATTGGAAGAGAAGGGGGAATTAGTGACACAAGATACCCAAGAAGACAAAAGTTTGTGCAATCCAGAGCAAGGATAGATTAGCTTTGGACTGATGCAAAATCAAGAAGGGAGGAAGCACCCTGTGACTAGAGACATTTCTTCTAGACAAGAGATTTAGAAAGAGCTCGTTTGATGCCAGTTGTTCTCTATTTTAATAGACTTCTCAGATAACTAGGAAAGAGACAATTATGTATAGAGAAGTCTAGGACAAATACCACATGACTTTGCTTACATGTAGAATCTTAAGTCAAACTCAGAAGCAGAGAGTAGAATGATGGTTATCAAGGGCTGGGGGAGGAAGGGGCTGGGGAGATGTTGATCAATGATACAAAGTTTTAGTTAGGCAGGTGGAATAAGTTCAGAAAATTTATTGTACAACATATTAATCATAGTTGATAGTAATATAACATATACTTGAGAATTGCTGAGAGTAAATTGTTAGTGTTCTCACCATTAAAAAAAATAAATGGGGTAATATATGTTAATTACCTTAATTTAGTCATTCCACAATGTATACATACATAAAAACATCATGTTGTATGCCATAAGTACATATAATTATTATTTGTGAATTTAAAAAATAAAAGTAATTTCAAAAAAAGTAACAGGCATTGGGCATGTAGAGGAGAGGCCAGAATCAAGTAGATGGGCCCTAAAAGTCAACGGGGTCAGATTTTTTCATCTTTTGGTGCTATAATGCACCTCAGCCATACCTACACATCTTTGGTTTCAGAAAAGACTTTTGGTCCTGACACATCTCTACAAATCTCAAAGGAGGGCCTGGGGAAAATGTTCTCCATTCTTCCAGCATTGGTGAGGAAATAAAGCCCTTTTAGAAGTTAACCCTAAATAGTGGTTTTCAAAATGTGTTCACCAGACCAGCAGCAACAAAAATCACCTGGAAACTTGTTAGAAATGCACTTTGTCAGACAGGCATGTTGGCTCACACCTGTAATCCCAGTTTGGGAGGCTGAGGTGGGTGGATCATGATGTCGGGAGTTCAAGACCAGCTTGGCCAACATAGTGAAACCCTGTCTCTACCAAAAATACAAAAATTAGCCAGGCATAATGATGTACACCTGTAGTCCCAGCTACTCGGGAGGCTGAGGCAGGAGAATCGCTTGAATCTGGGAGGCAGAGGCTGTGGTGAGCCAAGATCACACCACTGACCTTCAGCCTGGGCAACAGAATGAGACTCTGTCTCAAAAAAAGAAAAGAAAAAAAGAAATGCATATTCTCAGGCCCTATTCCAGACCTAAAAATCAGAAATGTCAGGGGAGGGGGTGCATCCCAAAAATCTGTGTTTCAACAAGCCCTCCGGGGGGGTTTCTGATGCAAGCTGTAGTTTGAAAATCACTACTCTAAGCAGCCCTTGGCCTGGTTCTGAACTGTATGTGTGTGTGCCACCAGCACTCTTGTGTGAAGAAGGTCCCCTTATTAGATGGGTTTTTGCTACCAGTTTTCCAAGCAGGGGTAAATGGTAGGAAATTGCCTGCTCTTTCACTAAGTGCCTCCCAGGACTTCAAAAGCTGACTGGGTTGGGGATGCAACATGGGGCTCTGAGACTGAATGGTATATACCTGAGTCCCTTGGAGCCAGTCACACCACACAACACTGGCCCCATTGAAGGTCAATACCTCCCTAATCCTATCCCCACCAAACTACCAAGACAATGCCACCTCACTGAAACAATTTCATCCATCAAATTGCAATTTGGAGGTTAGGTGAGGTTTTTTTTTTGACAGGATGGGAAGGATGTCAAAAAACCCCTCTCTTCCAGGCAAGCACACTTATGCTTTTCTCTGAAGGTTCGTTTTTATGAAGCAAGACAAGAAAACACAAGCTGCAATGCCTCTTTTAGGAGATGGTGACTTCAGCACTAGGAAAGAGGGCGTTCCAGTGAGTTCCAGAGTAGGAATGTCACTGAGGGAACATCAATGCCTGGCACAGCTACACACAAGCAAGCAGTGCTCCCATGTAGGTCAAAGGCCCCAGGACCAACTTCACTCTGTAGGGACGGAGGCCTGGCTTTGCATTTTGAGAGATTCCTTTTGAAATAGGCATCTATATTTAAAGATGCTTTTTGCCTGATAGGGCATGATTTTTCAGTTCTATAAACAGAGCACTGATAAGCAGCCACTCAAACCCATATAGAATGCCATCTTCAATTTGAGGAAATGAATAGTGCCCCTGAAATTATTGTAGTATAATTTATCATTTGCTCACCCTAAGTAACTCAACCTATTCTAACAGGACAGTGTACAGGTAGAGTTATTCACCTCATGTTTACTAGTGGCTTTGCAGTTGAAATAATCTCTAAATGGCTATATTTTTTTAAATTATTCAAGTTGCTAGATCCCATTATCAACTATCCCGGCCTCTTACTTTCTAACTCATATCTTGTGCTAACTAAGCTCACTGTAGATATATTTAGTATTTGTCTAGAATCTCTGGAGAACAGGGAATCAGGATGTTATGGTGTTTTAATGTTTTTATTTTTATCAAAGCAATACATTTTAATTTATGGGACTATAATGCAGGTTAATATAGCACCTGTATGGCATCTTTCACATACGTATCTCCCATCCTGTTTCAAAGTGTCGTCATCACAACCACAGGAGGTAGGTAGATGCTATAAGCACCAAGGTCTTCATTAAAAAAAAAATACACAGTTGAGACAAAATAATTTACCAAAATATACACAGCAAATCATTAGCAAAGCCAGAAAACAAATCCAGGACAATCTAGACATTTTCCACTATCCACTTCATCCAGTGGCTTTCCTTCCTCTCCCTTTAGCCTCTCAAAATTCAAAACATAGCACAAGCTCCATGTCAGATCGAGTCCTTCAGGGACTGCCAGCCGTGTGAAATTCTCCACTTTTCCCTCTCCTCTGCCTAGATTCAGGGGACTGAGAAGGCATTACAAATAGTGCTCTATGGGTTTCCTTACTTCTATGAGAAAAAGCCATTCCTTTACCTCTTGAACCATGTTTATGCCCAGGAACCACACTCTCAGCACTTTTCTAAGCTAGCTTGAAGCCAGTCAATACTAACATCACAACTTTTTCAATGGGATTATATTACAATATAATTGAGATTTCATAGGTATAATTAAATTAATTTATCGATTAAATTTAAATAAAAGAATTTCTTCCTAAGAAAATGGTTCAACAAAAAATACACATCTGTCAGCTAGAAGTGTTGGGTGCCACCACTTGCAACACAGATCACCTACCCTAACCTTTGTCAATCCATAAACACCAATTTCAGACAACTACAAAAGGAAGAGTTACAGTCATGTGAACTCACAGGGAGGATGATCTCAGGCTAATGACTTCAATGTTTTGGAAGAGTGCAGTTGTGTAGCTGCTTTGAGTTTACACATGCCCCTAGTAGGCACATTTGCTCTGTCACATGACAAAGTGTCAGCTTCTAAGCCCCTTCTGCCAACTTCAGCACCATGAGGCAGTGGCAAATGCATCCCAATTCATTAGAGTGGCCTGTGGCAAATGCATCCCAATTCATTAGTAACCAGTGGACATACTTTGTGCAGCCACAAGAAAAGGTTAACTAAGGTCCAGGCTCATGTAAAAAGAAAGCAAAGATTTATAAATAAATGCCTATGTCATTCATTTATTCAACAAGCATTGCTGAAAGTCTAAGACATTCTAGGCACTGTGAATGCCAAAACGAGTGGAATCCCAAACACAAGGAACTACGACGGACATTTTAACAAACCCAGAAAATTCTCTGGACTCAGACTATCTGCCTCCCCAACTAGCCTGAAGCTGGTGCCCAGGTCCCTCCCTTTTGTGGAAGTACTACCTTCCTCAGGCCTCCACTTCAAAGAGCAAACACCCAAGACAGGGAGTCCATCAAGCTCCATCTTCAGCTTCCATGCATTCCTCAGTTTATCAGATTGACACACTTGAGAGGCAAAGTCCAGGAAAAACGCAAACTCAAGAGGGATATTATGGGGGAGAAATGGTTTTCTTTTTTAAAAAATGGAGAGGAGGACAAACAGGGAAAGTGTCGGGAACCGCTGTGACCAAAACTCTTAAAACAATATTCAAGGATTACAAACCACACTGAGACAGACTCACATCAGACATCACATGGCTTCTGATTCTTAATCTACCTTTTTCTGGATGTGACTGAGTGGACTTTCTTTCTGCAGCTCCAGTAGGTACAGATGACTGCATCACACCATCTTCAAATGCTTAAGTTAACAGCAAACTAATGATTTTCTTCCAGCTAGCCTGTAATTACACATGTACATATTTATCCACCTGGGCAAAATTTACAACTGGCTGGTTTCCCTTCAATACCACAGGACAAGATTAAAGGGAGGTGAGTAAGAGCCCAGCCATAGTGAATCTACAGCAAAAGGTAGGACTCAGGCAAAATATGCATGGCAAAAGACAGCCACGGTCAGCAGGATGAGGCCATTGATGTTCGCCACTGTCCTCCACAAAGGCTTTTCAGAGGTGTCCATCATCTTCATCTTCATGGCTTTCTCTTCTTCCTTAGTCATCTTGGGTGCAGCCTGCTGCTCCAGCCCACAAAACAGATCATAGGCTCTTCTGAAGAATCCTTTTCTCTCCTCAGGAACTTCTGTGTCTGGGCAAAGGCATAGAAGAATTACTGGACACAGAAATAGGACAGACTAGGAAAGTTTCCAGGGGAGATGCCGTACCATGAAGCACCTGCTATTCTGCAGAAATTTCCCCAAAACAAGAAATTTCCCAAAATTTCCCCCATATTTTCTTGTTTTAAGGAATGAAAACAGTAGAAAATGTTCCAATAAACTTAATGACAAAACAATCTTACTATTTACATCTTTAAGATCAGCTAGCCCTAAGTTTTATCTCTATCAGGCCCAATGCAAATTTATTTTGATTTCGAACAGTCAGTTCAAATAATAGTTTATGATAAAGGCACATTAATAATGGGCTAGGGAATTGTGCCATAGGAAGGAAAACCCACCTCTGAAACACAAAATCTCATATCTCTTCACTACATCACCAGAAAGCAATCTGGCTGGCATGACTCAGGAGTGCTTTGGCTACATCTGTCCTTTCTAAGGCTTCACAATAGACCCAGCCAGGTGGTAAGAATTGGTCTGAACAGCTTCTGATGCAGTGCAGCAGTGATCAATACTTCCCAGGGTTAGGATCTAACATCACATATCAACACTGCTTAATCAAACCATCCATACATGGCCCTGATGCTCAACTCGGATGCCCACCAAGGGAACTGAGCCTAGGCATGGCCTTGGAGGTACACAAACCTCATTTCAAATGCCCACTGTGCCAGTCACTAGATAAGAGATCAAGCCCATTGTGCTTTCAGCACCACAGTCACAGACCCTGCAAAGCACTTTCCTAATTTTACAAGTCACTGAATTTTATCTTTATTTTTTAAGAGACAGAGTCTTGCTCTGTTGCCCAGACTGGAGTGCAGTCGTGGTTATCATAGCTCACTGCAGCCATGAACTCCTGGGCCAAACGATTCTCTGACCTTGGCCTTCTTAGTAGCTAAGCTGGGACTACAGGTGCATGCCACCATGCCCAGTTAATTTTTTAATTTTTTTGTAGAGTCAGGGTCTCAGTATGTTGCCCAGACTGGTTTTGAACTCCTGGACTCAAGCAATCTTCCCACCTTGGCCTTCCAAAGTGTTGAAATTACAGATGTGGGCCACCATGCCCAGCCTCACAGAATTTTAGCTTTAAAACATCACAGAATTTTAGAACCAGAAAGAATCTCAGTGACCAAGTTCACACATGTGTTAGAGTTGGGACCAAAACCTAGCTTTATGGTATTGTTAATTCACATCCCTTATCTTCAGGAATAGAATTGGATAAATAGCTTCTTCATTGTATAATAAAGAATTTAATGATTTAATGAGAGAGCTTCTACTTCTTATTGTGGTGGAGCCTCTCTTATTGTGGTAGATCCTCTTCCACACTCAAAATACTCCTAAACTGTATCCCTTGACACGTAGATGTCAAGAGGTGTAAGTCTCTTCCCATTCTCTCTTTTCTCTCACACACTCACACCTCTCCCTTTTGACTCACTCCACCAGAACAGCAGAATGGGGAAGAAGGAGTAAGAAGCTAGGACACTGACCAGCTCAAGTGAGAAATACATGGCTTTCTGGGTCAATAAAAAGTTGAATGGCCTTAGGAAATTCTCTGTCTCATTTTCCTGTTTGGGGAGGGAAAGAAAATTGGAAGAATCGTACTTGTATTATCTGCCTTAAGAGGATGACTTAGTGCTGAAATTAATCACTAAAGTGTTTATAATTAAAATATGTGATGATCATATCATTATTATTATTTTTTTTTTTTTTTTTTTTTTTTGAGACGGAGTTTCACTCTCCTTACCCAGGCTGGAGTGCAATGGCGCGATCTCGGCTCACTGCAACCTCCGCCTCCTGGGCTCAGGCAATTCTCCTGCCTCAGCCTCCTGAGTAGCTGGGATTACAGGCACGTGCCACCATGCCCAGCTAATTTTTTGCACTTTTTAGTAGAGACGGGGTTTCACCATGTTGACCAGGATGGTCTCGATCTCTTGACCTCGTGATCCACCCGCCTCGGCCTCCCAAAGTGCTGGGATTACAGGCTTGAGCCACCGCGCCCGGCGATCATATCATTATTAATGATGATGGTGGTGGTGGTGGTGGTGGTGGTGGTGGTGGTGGTGGTGATGATGATATGGGGACAATGATGCAACCTGAAAAGCTTCCTTGTGTTGATGTTTCCTACAGACCCATGGTCTGTAAAAGCCCTCAAGAGAGTTTAGTTTATTGTGCTTTAATAGGATAGGATGTTCAGTCTGATTTCAACCTAAGTTCATGAAAACATGACAGAATTTGAGTGCTGCCATGAACTTCAGAGGTACCAAATTAATTCTCTAGCCAGTATGGATGTTCCCTCTATAGCAGGCGTCCCCAAACTATGGCCCGTGGGCCACATGCGGCCCCCTGAGGCCATTTATCCGGCCCCCCGCCGCACTTCAGGAAGGGGCACCTCTTTCATTGGTGGTCAGTGAGAGGAGCACAGTATGTGGCGGCCCTCCAACGGTCTGAGGGACAGTGAACTGGCCCCCTGTGTAAAAAGTTTGGGGATGCCTGCTCTATAGAATCCTTGACAAATGTATACATACTGCTCATCCCTGTCCAGACTAACTCAATTAGAAAACTATTCCTTCAAAGCAATCATGATGGTGATAATTATGGCCGATTCTTATAGCAGAGCATAAGAGGTATGGATTTTTATTTAGAATACTTTTATGTGAAGAATCTGAGCTTTAGAACAATGGAATCACTTTCCTAGCATAGTAGGAAGAGAATTCATATTTCAATCCCATTTCTTCCTGATTCCAAATCTCAGAAACCATCTCTGCACTATTCTGCCTCCTTACTCTGAGTTAAAATTGGATGAATTCTTTTCACCCACCAGCGTTAAGTCTGCCTTCTGGCATAAAAATAATCTCTTCTTCCACAATAAGACCTTTGACACTCAAAATACTCCTAATCCATCTAAAATCTAACCCTTTAAAATCTATGATATTCTCACACAGTGTGGAGACATTTTTGGAAGTAGGAGAAGTAGAGGGCATGTTCCTGCCTGCCTGCTCTGAGGAAGCAGGAAGGGGCTGTTTTCAACACCACGGCCAGCTGCTATGGCTTCACACTCCCTCTGGTATTTGTAGAGTCACAGGTTTTAGAATGGAAAGGTCTTTAAAGATCAAGAGCCGATTGCAGCAAAGCCGAGAACTTAGGCACAGCCTCTCCCTCCCTAAGCCTCAATTTACATGTCTATAAAATGAGGTGATAAGACCAAATGATCTCTAGGGCTCTTTCCTGAGTTCTTTCTATGATGGTCCTGATGGCCAGATTCAGAACTTCTTCTGAGCTACACCTGTGCTCTCCTTCAGATGGAGTGACGAGGAAGCCTCCAGCCCAGTACCAGGTAAAGCACGTATGACCTTGAGCCCCATATCTCTGCACACCACACACCTCCACAGCCATCCTCCACATATGCAAGTCCCCCATGTAGAGAGGAAGGTTACAATACTGAAGTAGAAGAAAGCATTAACTTAGAGGATAAGTCTTTGGGCACTGACTAAGCATTATTTCATTGGTCTTCCTGAGAAATTGGATTTTCTACATTTGATATTGTAAGCCAGTAAAACATAAGATCCCAAGGGCCTCTATCTCCTCATCTTGATACCACTAGAACTGACCATACCCTTGGTTTCATCTGTCCTCTATGTCAAAAGAACTCAAACTCTTTTTTCTTTTTTCTTTTTTCTTTTTTTTTGAGATGTAGTCTTGCTCTGTTGCCCAGGCTGGAGTGCAGTGGTGCAATCTCAGCTCACTGCAACCTCCTCCTCCTGGGTTAAAGCAATTCTCCTGCCTCGGCCTCTTGAGTAGCTGGGACTACAGGCATGTGCCACTATGCCCAGCTCATTTTTTGTATTTTTAGTAGAGACAGGGTTTCACCATGTTAGCCAGGCAGGTCTCAAACTCCTGACCTAGTGATCTGCCCACCTCAGCCTCCCAAAGTGCTGGCATTACAGACGTGAGCCACCACACCAGCCCCAACTCTTCTCTTATCCCCAGCCATTCCCCAAATCAAGACAGGGTGGCAAATTCCTCACCCACACTTACTCACTGAGCACCGTCAAATATGAGGGGTGAGAATCCAATCAAAAATGGTCAAAAGGTTTGAATAGACGTTTCTCAAAAGATGATATATAAATGGCAGACAGGTACATAAAATGGTGCTCAACATCATTAATCATAGAAATGTAATCAAAACTACAATGATATATCATCTCATCACAGTTAAAATGGATTACACCCAAAAGATGGGCAATAATAAATGCTAATGAGGATGTGGAGAAAAGGGGAACCCTTGTACACTGTTGGTGGGAATGAAAGTTAGTATGACCACCAACAGTATGGAGAACAGTTTGGAGGTTCCTCAAAAAACTAAAAATAGAGCTACCATATGATTCAGCAATCCCACTGCTGGGTATATACCCAAAAGAAAGGAAATTAGTATATTGAAGAGATATCTGCAGTCCCATGTTTGTTACAACACTACAATGGCTAAGATTTGGAAGCAACCTAAATGTCCATCAATAGATGAATGAATGAAGAAAAAGGTACATATACACAATGGAGTACTATTGAGACATAAAGAAAGAATGAGATCTTGTCATTTACAACAACAGGATGGAACTGGAGATCATTATGTTAAGTGAAATAAGCCAGTCACAGTAAGACAAATATCTCATGTTCTCACTTATTTGTGAGATCTAGAAATCAAAACAATTGAATTCATGGACATAGAGAGCAGAAAGATGGTTACCAGAGGCTGAGAAGGGTAGTGGGGTTCTGGGGATGGGGTAGGGATGGTTAATGGGTACCAAAAAAATAGAAAAAATGACTAAGACCTACTATTTGATAGCACAACAGGATGACTATAGTCAATAATAATTGTACATTCTAAAATTAAGAGTGCAACTGGATTGTTTGCAAATCAAAGGATAAATGCTTGAGGGGATGGATACCCCATTCTCCATGATGTGCTTATTTCACATTGCATGCCTGTATCAAAACATCTCATGTACTTCATAAATATATAAACCATGTACCCAAAAAATTTTTTTAAATATGAAGGGTGAGGGAGTTGGAATTATTCTGTACCCTCTCCTCCCCTTGAACTCAGAGTGAACTTCCCCCAAACCACTTATCCATTTCATCCCTACTCTGTTCCTCACTACTCTGGAAGGGAGACATCTGCGCTCTGATAAAGTCATTTAGGGAAGGCTTCAGTAAAATTACCATGTAGAAGTAACTTTTAGGGTTTGGGGATCTGCTCTGGGTCATAAATCACCTATTTCAATGGTCTCCTTAGGGTCATCTTTGATGTACTCCTCTTCTGCATCCAGGTCAATACGCTCCTCTTTGCTGTTGCGCAGACTCCAACACAGACGGTGCAGCTGCAGAGAAGGCAGAGCAGGTCAACAGAAAGATCCAAATAGCATCTTGGGAAAAGCAGTTAGGGGAGCAAAGAGGTATGCATCAAGGAAGGGAAGGAAATGTGGCCTCTCAGTACCAACAAGGACATACATAACAATTCCTATCCACACATTATCTCTAAAAACATTGGTAACTTAGATGAAAGTAATATACATATATACACTAGCTTCTATGATACATGTATATTCAGAGCCAAAAGGCTGCCTCATAGAGAAATATTTGTTGAATGAACTTATGTGTGTGTGATAAATAAATTTGTTCCTTTTAGCACTGGCAGTAGGAAGCAACAAAGACAGCCATTGTCCAGGTTAGGAGTATAATTTCAGATTTTTTTTACTATTTCACATTATGGGAATAATAATCTAGAATAATGAGCCATAATAGAATATGGTAGAGCTGGGGACACAATTTCTTTTGATATAGTCAAGAGCATGAACCAAAAACTTGATCTAGAGCATAAACTTGGTCTAAGGCATGAACTAGAAATGTGTTTGGGACTGTGATACTTTCAAAGACTTGAGACATGAGGCAGCAGTTGATACAACACAAAGAAAGCCTGTAGCAGGTCCAGCCAATAGATGTGATGCAGTTTTGTCCCTATAAAAGTAGTCCTTGTTTAACATTAAGGTTTGTCACTGCTCTTAAAATTTTGGCAACGAAGTTGAAGATCTCTTAGGAATTCCATAAGCCCTTGTATGTGTATGCATGAGTAAAGGATTAACAAAATTCTTCTTTGTTTCTCTAGAAATAAATATGACCTTGGGTTAACTTTCCAGCTCTATTCTCTTGGAAACCTGGAAATCTGTGTTGAGTTACCAGACTATTAATAAAAATAGCTTGTAATTGGCCATCTTTATCTAAACTAGAAGAGCTATGAATAAATACTAAACCAATGGGGACATCTAGAGTTAAAGAAGAGTAATTGCAACTTTTGAAGTCTTGAATCAATTAGACTTTCATATTGTTAGAAATGTTTTACATCAATTTTTGGTGGATTAATTTAGAAAAAAATCAAGAGGAAAACTATATTTTAGATTTCCCTGAGTAGACTGATTCTTGCATCTAGGTATGTTCTTTGCTGAGACCTTTAAAATCTTTGACCATGGGACAGTTACAAGAAATACCAGTTTCTATTTGGAACATAGGCTTCTAGGCCAGGTAGCTCTGTCCCACCCATATCATCTTGCGCACCTGAGCTGTCACTTGGGAAGGAGGTTTCAGAGAATAAGCTCTGGAATAAAGAGTAGACAACTGTGAGGATTCCCACTAAAGACATGGGCTTGATATCAGCCTATTGGCACCATGTTTCCTGGCATGTATCCTTCCACATGAAACCAATTATGTGAATGTAAGATACATAATTTTGCTGAGGCCAACCAAGCGTGTTGTGGCACATCAACATCGTTAATCATCAGAGAAATGCAAATCAAACAATAATGAGATATCGTCTCATCCCATTTAAAATGGCTTTTACCAAAAAGACAGGCAAGAATGAATGCTGGTGAGGATGGGGAGAAAGGGAAACCCTCAAACCCTGTTGGTAGGAATGTAAATTAGTATAGCTACAATGAAGAACACTATGGAAGTGTTCTTCATTTCTATACTAAAAATAGAGCTACCATACATATCCAACAATTCTACTACTGGATATATATCCAAAAAGAAAGTAAGCCAGTATATCAAAGAGATATCTATACTCCCATATTTACTGCAGCACTATTCACAATAGCCAAGATGTGGAATCAATCTAAGTGCCCATTGACAAATGAATGGATAAAGAAAATGTGGTACAGGCCGAGCGTGGTAGCTCACGCCTGTAATCCCAGTACTTCGGGAGGCTGAGGTGGGTGGATCACGAGGTCAAGGGATCAAGACCATGATGAAACCTCGTCTGTACTAAAAAATACAAAAATTAGCTGGGTGTGGTGGTGCGCGCCTGTGGTCTTAGCTACTTGGGAGTCTGAGGCAGAAGAATTGCTTGAACCCGGGAGGCAGAGGTTGCAGTGAGCTGAGATCGTGCCACTGCACTCCAGCCTGGCAACAGAGCAAGACTCTGTCACAAAAACAAAAACAAAAAAAGGAATAAAATGTGGTATAAATACACAATAGAGTATTATTCCGCCATAAAAAGAATGCAATCCTGTCATTTGCAACAACGTGTATGAAACTGGAAGTCATTATGTTAAGTGAAATAAGCCAGCCATAGAAAGACAAATTTCTCATGTTCTCACTCATATATGGGAGCTAAAAGTTTTAGAAACCGAACTCATGGAGACAAAGAGTAGATTGATGGTTACCAGAGGCTAGGAAGGGTAGCAGGGGATGGAGGACAGAGTGAAGATGGTTAATGGGTGCAAAAATACAGTTAGAATGAATTAAGATCTAGTATTTGGTAGCACAATAAGGTGGCTATGCTTAACATTAATTTATTTTTTATATATTATAAAATTATCATAAAATAATAATTTATTATGTATCTATACATATATAATTTAAAGACAGAGTCTCATTATGTTGTCAGGCTGATCCCAAACTCCTGGACTCAAGCGATCATCCCACCTTGGCCTCCCAAAGTGCTGGGATTACAAGCATGAGCCACCACATTCTATATTTTAAAATAACTAAGAGAAGAATTAAAATGTTCCTAACACAATTAAATAATAAATACTTGAGGCAGTGGACACCCCCCCCCGATTTCATCATTATATGTCTGTATCAAAATATTACATGTACCCCATAATTATATACAACTATTATGTACCCATAATAATGAAAAAATTTTTTTAAATTAAAGAACATTGTAGCATGAACACAAAACAAGGACAGATCCCCTAAATGGATACTCACATGCACATCTGGAATGGGCTTGGTGAAGAGGGAGATGATCACGATAGTGATGACAGAAATGACGAAGAGGATAATAGCAAAGTACAAGTAGTGTACCCCACAGATAATCGTGGGACAGTTGCTAGGCTCCATGCAGCTCCCGGTTCCATAGGCAAACTCAGTAATCATACGTGAAACCCCAATCAGAAATCCTAGGATCAGTCCCCAAAAGGCTCCCTATAAAAGAAAACCCTGGGTTAACTCATGCTGAACACACAAAACAGATGGTCTTGCTAACGTTCTTGGGGGAGGCACAGGAAGAGGCAAAGGAATAGAGGTAGGAGAAGTGGTAGCTCCAGGCTGTCTGAACCCAGAACGCTGGAGTTCAGAATATGGCAAGCACTGCTATGCAAGACCTTCAGTGTGTCTGTCTATCATGTTTCAGCAACATGATTTCACCTCAATTATTAAACAAGGAGCCATAACATAATGGGGTAACAGTGTCTAATAATTGGAATAGAGTGTCAACCTACAGGTTTAATTCCAAAAATTACCCTTAACTTGAAAAATAATTTGAGCCTCTCTACCTGCAGCTACTGTCAACACCAATCTCCAGATTTATGCATATTCAGATAAGAAGTAATTACTTGTGAGGTAATTCGTATTTCACAAGGACATGGGAAAAGAAATTAAGTCTTTGAAAGATGAAGGAGAAAGAAACTTAAACTTATCCATCAAAATATAAATAACACTTTTTCAGCCCCCTTTGTAGATTATTTTATAAGCTATTCTTAGTTTGAGAACATAAAATGATGCTGTGTTTTTACATTAAATTTTGGATTTGCATATTAGAAATATGGAGGACTTTAAGAGACCAGAAACATGAGGGGACAATTTTTCAGTTTTGTTTTTTGTTTGTTTGTTTGTTTTTGTTGTTGTTTTTTTGTTTTTTTTACTCTTTCCTTCGTTCTTGCCTTCCTTTTTCCTTTCTATCTTTCCCTTAGGTAAGTCCTCATCCAGGTTTAAGTCTGGCAGGTCAGTGACAAAGTAGAATGCATTCTTAGAAGGGTGGCCCAAAAGAGCTTTCATGTTTTTTGTGTGTTTTTTGTTTGTTTGTTTTTTGAGACAGAGTCTCACTCTGTCACCCAGGCTGGAGTGCAGTGGCACGATCTTGGCTCAATTCAACCTCTGCCTCCTGGGTTCAAGTAATTCTCCTGCCACAGCCTCCCAAGTAGCTGGAATTACAGGCACCTGCAACCATGCCCAGCTAATTTTTGTATTTTTAGTAGAGATGGGGTTTCACCATGTTAGCCAGGCTGGTCTTGAACTCCTGATCTTGTGATCCACCTGCCTTGGCCTTCCAAAGTGCTGGGATTACAAGCATGAGTCACTGCACCCGGCTGCTTTCATAGTTTTTCAGGTGCTGGTCAGACTCTTTGCTAGTCATTGCTACCCCTAAACTTTCTATTCCAAGTGTATTAAATTATCACCTATCCCCTACACATGGCATGTGTTTTTGTCTCCATGTCTCTGTATATAGGTCATTCTATCTGGAAGAATATGGGCTTATTTCTTCCTGGTAACCTCATTCTAGCTTAAATAGAACAAGCTACACAAGGCGGGTACACCCTTTCTTGCTGTGTCCACAGCTCTGTGGACACAGATCCAGGCCAGCACCAACCCCACTGCCATGGAATCACTCATTCAGTTCTCTGTCTCCCAGTCTGAACTAGTGGGTTGCCCAGGGAAGGAAGCAGATTTCATTCGCTTTCTGTTGCTAGTGCCTTACCTTATGCTGGCATCTGCAAATGACTTCTAGATGATGAAATGAACAAGGAAAAAGAAAAAATGTGTTCCCTATTCATCCCCCATACACTATTTCACTCAAAAAAAAATATTTCTTAGCTGGGCACAGTGTGCCTGAAGTCCTTCCTACTTTGGAGGCTGAGGCAGAAGGGATCACTTGAGCTCAGAAGTTTGAGACTGGTCTTACAACACAGTGAGATTCTCATCTCAAAAAAAAAAAAAATCAATAAATTTTCCATGAAATAATTTTTTTAAAATTCAAAAATTTTCATAATAAAAACTCTCAACAAATTAAGTACAGAAGTAACGTACCTCAAAAACAATAAAGACTATAAGCTATATATAACACTCACAGCTAACATCATACTGAATGAGGAAAAATTGAAAGACTTTCCTCTAAGATCTGGAAAAATAAAGGGATACCCACTTCCCTTTCACTTTCATTCAACATAGTACTGGAAGTCCTAGACAGAGCAATCAGGCAAGAGAAAAAATAAAGGGCATCCAAATGGGAAAAGAAAAAGACAAATTGGCCTCATTTACAAATGATATGATCTCATATTTAGAAAAACCTAAAGATTCCACCAAAGGGGTCACTCTTAATGAAACCCTGACCTACCTTTCCAGTCACGTCTTCCATCTTTCACATTCACAAACTCCCCGTGAGCCAGGTGAGATTCCATACAAGTCCTTCAACCTCACTCCTATCCTTGTACTTCTGCCTAAAAGTTCTGGACAGTGTTGTTCTCTGACTTGAATGCCATGTCTTCCCTCTCCAACTTCAAATCCTTCCAGCTCCAGCTGCTCCAAGAGGCCTTCCCTGACAGTCTCAGCCCCTGCTGATAAATCCTTTCCTAAATCCCTTCCTAGTCATATTATGTGCTGCATTATATCCCTTACTTGTTTTGCACTTTGTTTTATGTATAAACTGCTTGAGCACCAGGACTTTGTCTTCACTTGGCCCTGAGAGGTGCTGGCTGGAAAACTGAGTTCACAGTACAGCACTGGAGGTACCTTGCACTAGGACTTTCTCTCGCTCACCTAGGGGCTACAAATTTCCTAGTGAGTGCCACGCAGTCTGGTCAAAATCACCCACATTAGATAGAAAACCTAATCTTGGCCCCTAATTCTAGCACTTTGGGAGGCTGAGGTGGGAGGATCACTTGAGCTCAGGAGTTCAAGACCAGCCTGGGCAACACAGTAAGACCTCATCTCTATTTAAAAATAAATAAATAAATAAGAAAATCTAATCTTGGACAGAGGAGACAGAGAGAATGTGAATCCCCATACCAACTCCCAAGGAGCTCACTTCAACAGAGAGCCCCATGGTCCCTGGAGGCTTTCCCTACAAACCCTCAGCAGTACATCCATGTCTGCTCAAGATCTCTGGGAAATGGAATCCCTCCCACAGAGAATATGCAAACCCACATGGAAACTTCTATGCCAGAATGACTTTTCTGGATATGCCCAGATGATACATACTGGCTCACTGACTCTTTTCCAGAAAATACCAAGGAGGAAGACAGCTGCAATGGGTGGTCCCAAATAACTGGTGATGGACTGGATGTAATCGAAGAGCTGCCCACTTTGTGCTGATTGCACAACGGGCACCCAGGCGATGCTGATTCCAATCAGCACCAGGATAAACAACCTGAAATTAAAGCCGCCACAACAAGGTGTCAATAAGTAGCTCCACATGAGTATACATTACTATGTATTACATATACACATACATACGTACACACATACATACATACACACACTACCACCAGCACCACTACCAGCAGCAAATATGACCACAGCATGAAAAAATAATTAGCAGGCTGGGCGTGGTGGTTCACGTCTGTAATCCAGCACTTTGGGAGGCTGAGGCGGGTCAATCATGAGGTCACGAGTTCAAGACCAGCCTGGCCAACATGGTAAAACCCTGTCTCTACTAAAGATACAAAAAATTAGCCAGGCATGGTGTCATGGTGTCATGTGCCTGTAATCCCAGCTACTATGGAGGCTGAGGCAGGAGAATCACTTGAACCTGGGAGGCAGAGGTTGCAGTGAGCCAAGATCATGCCATTGCACTCCAGCCTGGGTGACAGGGCAAGACTGTGTCTCAAAAAAAAAAAAAAAAAAAAAAAGAAAAGAAAAGAAAAAATAATAGCAAATGTATGCTTGAAGCTTTTTTTTGCCTATAGGAAAGTTATTCATGAATTAGTAAAACACACTTGACTTTTAATAGTAGCCTAGGCCTACTCACCACCATAAGAGAATCTCATTCTGAGAGAAAATAGAGTATGGGAACAAGGTATGAATTTTGGAGCCTGATAGTCCTGGATTCAAATTCTTATTACTTCTGTGTGACATAGGAGACGTTTCTTAACCTCTCTGAGCCTCAAGTTCTTCATCTGTATACTTGGAATAGGACTGACCTTGCAAGGCAGGAATAAGAAATAGTGATAGTAAAACTAATCTAAGTGATAGTTAACTAAGTGATAGTAAAACCTTGCAAATAGCAGGCACTCAATAAACAGTAAAAACTATTATTATTTTCTTCTTTCCTCCTTCTCTTTTATCTTCTCTTTCTTCTTAATAATGAAGTTATTAATAATAACACTAGGCAAGATGATTTTATAAAGGAATGGTCTAGATAGGAAGAAACACTACCAGGTGTTTCCATCTCTCCTCCCATTGAGTTTCACTTCAAGTCCTGAAAAGACTGGAGATGTCCTTGCAAGCTCTTCTTACTTGCGCTCTTGACTGAATTAGAAAAATGACTGTGATTCCCTCTCTCACTTACCTGCATCTTAAACTGACCTCCACAAAGCAACGTTTTCACTCACACATTTCTCCCTCTGAAACGCCTTTCCACTGTTCCCCTTTTCCACATTCTACCCACCATTATGGACTCAGCTCAGGTTCTCCCTCCCCCAGGAGCCTTTCCCAACCACAGCATGCCACACTCATCACTCTGAGACCCTGGTTGTTCTTACACCCCCCACAGCAGAGTTTGAAATCGTTTCACATCACTGTGGGCTCATCCAGGGCTGGGACAGGCCTCAGGGCAGTAGTTATAGGACACACAAAAATGTGAAGCCCAACATAGTCTCAGGGTCATGGGAACCATCCCTATACAAGGCAACAAAATAATTTTCTTTAGCATTTTGCATTTGAGCCACATATATAACTGAAAAAGTCAGTTAGTACCTTTCTAAGGAAAAATCAATCAAGGTAACAGTGCTACCTTCTATGGCTCAGAGTAAGATCCTCTGGCACAGTCAGATCTCCTTCGGGTGCCAGGTATCTTGTCAGTTCAAAGTGGCCCACCATGTTTCCTTTTCTTCTTTCATTTCAATCTTGAAAATGAGACCTATGAGGTAGCAGCCCATAGCCCTCCTGCACTCACTAGGAAACTTTCCCTTGACTAACATCCCAGGGACTTGTTCCACCTGCCCTAAGGAGGTTGACCTCCCTTAGCCCCATAGAAAAAGAAGCAAAGCTCCTGTTGATCCTCTCTCCAGAGTATCTGCTCCATGGATAATCATAATAATGGACACACCTGATCCAGGTGTTGATACTTTAATGCTTTCAGGACCCTATTGCATCTATTAGCCCATTTGACGACAAGAAATGTGCACAGCACTTGATGTTTTAGACTTTACAGAGTATATTCACAAGCACAATTGAACCTTCACGACGGTTCTGCAAAATGTTGCATCAAGGGATTGAGGCATCAGAGGCATGGGGGCTTCAAAGATGACCAGTGTGGAGAGATGCAGTGTGGGGGCACTGAGAAGGACAGTGTGGGACAATACGAAGAGCCTTGGACAGGGTTCAGTCCTGTCTCTGACACCATCCAGACTGTTTGGATTTAGGCAGGATGAGCTTCAACCCAAATGACAGCCTGGGGGGTAAATTAGGTGTCTGTTTTGTCCTTTCTAACTCCAGAGAGGCATTGTTCAATGATCTACAATTTAAAGTTAAATGCCACTAGAGGACCTAGAAAAAATGGCAGATAGCAGGCAGGATGAAATTGCAGCTCCCACTCAAATGGACAGAGCAGCATGCAGAGACTCACATCATGAACTTTTGCTCTAAGAACTACTGCAGGAATATACCAGGAAAACCAAGAGGATCCACACACCCTCTGAAGGAAGCAGATTGCTCCTACAGGATCTGGGAGACAGCCCACACGCTGTGAGTGCCCAAACTGTGAAAGCGGGAAAGGGGGATCATCTGACCCCAAACACAGACCCTCACTGGGGAACCTGAAGGTCCCTATTATGGGAGAAATACTTTAATAAATAGCACAATGAATGAAATAGTACCTCATATCTCAATACTAACATTGAATGTATGGCCTAAATGTTTCCATTAAAAGATATAGAATTCGGCCGGGCGCGGTGGCTCAAGCCTGTAATCCCAGCACTTTGGGAGGCCGAGGCGGGTGGATCACGAGGTCAAGAGATCGAGACCGTCCTGGTCAACATGGTGAAACCCCGTCTCTACTAAAAATACAAAGAATGAACTGGGCATGGTGGCGCGTGCCTGTAGTCCCAGCTACTAGGGAGGCTGAGGCAGGAGAATTGCTTGAACCCAGGAGGCGGAGGTTGCGGTGAGCCAAGATCGCGCCATTGCACTCCAGCCTGGGTAACAAGAGCGAAACTCCATCTCAAAAAAAAAAAAAAGATATAGAATTGCAGAACAGATAAGAATTTATCAACCAAGTATCTGCTGCCTTCAAGAGACTGGCCTAACACATAAGGACTCACATGAACTTAGGGTTAAAGGGTTGAAAAAGATATCCATGCAAATGGACAACAAAAGTAAGCAGGAATAGGTATTCTTATATTCTTTAAAGTTACAAAAGAAACTTTAAAGCAAGAGCAGTTAAAAAAGACAAAGAGGAACATCATATAATGATAAAAAGGCCTTGTCCAACAGGAAAATAACACAATCCTAAATGTATGCACCTAACACTGAAGTTCCCAAATGTATAAAACAGTTACTACTAGACTTAAGAAACAAGATAGACAGCAACACAATCATAGTGAAGGAATTCAATAATCCACTGACACCACTAGACAGATCATCAAGACAGAAAGCCAACAAAGAAACAATGGGTTTAAACTACACCCTAGAACAAATGAACTTAACAGATATTTATAGAACATTCTACCCATCAGCCACAGAATATACATTCTATTTATCAGTGCATGGAACATTCTGCAAGACAGACCATATGAGAGGACACAAAACAAGTCCAATAAATTCAAGAAAATTGAAATTATATCAAGTACTCTCTCAGACCACAGTGAAATAAAACTGGAAATCAACTTCAAAGGAAACCTTCAAAAGCAGGCAAATACATGGAAATTAAATAACCTGCTCCTGAATGATCACTGAGTCAACAATGAAATCAAGATGGAAATTTAAAATTTTTTTGAATTGAATAATAATAGTGACACAACCTATCAAAACCTCCGGATACAGCAAAGGCAGTACTAAGAGGAAAGTTCATAGCCCTAAATGCCTACATCAAAAAGTCTTAAAGAGCACAATAGACAATCTAAGGTCACACCTCAAGGAACTAGAGGAATAAGAACAAACTAACCCAAATCCAGGAGAAGAAAGGAAATAACCAGGATCAGAGCAGTTAAATGAAAGTGAAACAAAACAAAACAAAAAAATATGAAAGATAAATGAAACAAAAAGTTGGTTATTTGAAAAGATAAATAAAATTCATAGACCATTCAGAAGATTAACCAAGAAAAGAAGAGAGAAAATCCAAATAAGCACAATTAGAAATGAAACAGAAGATATTACAACCAACACCACAAAAATACAAACGATAATTCAAGGCTGCTATGAACAACTTTATGCACATATACCAGAAAACCTAGAGGAGGTGGATAAATTCATGGAGACATACAACCCTCCTGGCTTAAATCAGGAAGAATTAGATACCCTGAGCAGACTATTAGCAAGCAGTGAGGTTGAAATGTTAGTTTTAAAATTACCAACCAAAAAAAGTCCAGAAGCAGATGAATTCACAGCTGAATTCTACCAGACATTCAAAGAAGAATTGGCACCAATCCTATTAACACTATTCCACAAGGTAAAGAAAGAAGGAATTCTCCCTAAATCATTCTATGAAGCTGGTATCACCCTAATACCAAAACCAGGAAAGGATCTAAGAGAAGACAACTAAGGACCAATATCCCTGATGAACATAGATGCAAAAACCCTTAACAAAATACTAGCTAACTGAATCTGACAACATATCAAAAAGATAATATACCATGATCAAGTGGATTTCACACCAGGCATGCAGGGATGGTTTAATATATGCAAGTCAGTAAGTTTGATATATCACATAAACAGAATTAAAAACAAAAATCACATGATTGTCTCAACAAACACAAAAAAAGCATTTGGCAAAATCCAGCATCCCTTTATGATTAAAGTCCTCAGCAAAATCAGCATACAAGGGATATACCTCAATGTAATAAAAGCCATTTATGACAGACCGACAGCCAACATAATACCAAAAGAGGAAAAGTTGAAAGCATTCCCTCTGAGAACTGGAACAAAACAAGGATGCCCACTTTCACCCATATGTATTCAACATAGTACTGGAAGTCCTAGCCAGAGCAATTAAACAAGAGAAAGAAATGAATGGCATCCAAATCAGTAAAGAGAAAGTCGAACTGTCGCTATTTGCTGATGATACAATCATATACCTAGAAAACCCTAAAGACTTCTCCAAAATGCTCGTAGAACTGATAAATGAATTTAGCAAAGTTTCAGGATACAAAATTAATGTATACAAATCAGTAGCTTTGCTATACACCAACAGAGACCAAGCAGAGAATAAAATCAAGAATTAAACCCCTTTTACAATAGCTGGAAAAAAAATAATAAAGACTTAGGAATATACCTAACCAAAGAGGTGAAAGACCTCTGCAAGGAAAACTACAAACACTGCTGAAAGAAATCATAGATGACACAAACAAATGGAAACACATCCCATGCTCATGGCTGGGTAGAATCAATATTGTGAAAATGATCATACTGCCAAAAGCAATCTACAAATTCAATGTAATTTGCATCAAAATACCACCATTATTCTTCACAAAACTAGTACAAACAATCCTCAAATTCATATGGAGCCAAAAAAGAGCCCACATAGCCAAACCAAGACTAAGCAAAAAGAACAAATCTGGAAGCATCACACTACCTGACTTTAAACTATATTACAAGGCCATAGTCACCAAAACAGCATGGTACTAATATAAAAATAGGCACAGAGACCAATGGAACAGAATAGAGAACCCAGAAATAAACCCAAATACTTACAGCTAACTAATCTTTGACAAAGCAAACAAAAATATAAAGTGGGGAAAGGACATCCTATTCAACAAATACTGCTGGGATAATTGGCAAGCCACATGCAGGAGAATAAAGCTGAATCCTCATCTCTCACGTTATACAAAAATCAACTCGGGATAAATCAAGGACTTAAATCTAAGACCTGAAACTATAAACATTCTAGAAGATAACATCAGAAAAACTCTTCTAGACATTGGCTTAGGCAAAGACTTCATGACCAAGAACCCAAAACCAAATGCAACAAAAACAAAGATAAATAGGTGGGACTTAACTAAAGAGCTTCTGCACAGCAAAAGGAACAGTCGGCAGAGTAAACAGAAAACCCACAGAGTGAGAGAAACGCTTCACAATCTATACTTCCCACAAAGGACTAATATCCAGAATCTACAAATAATTCAAACAAATTAGCACGAAAAAAATAATCACCTTAATCCTGCAAGAATGCCCATAATTTAAAAATCAAAAAATAATAGATGTTAGTGTGGATGTGGTGAAAAGAGAACACCTTTACTCTGTTGATAGGAGTGTAAACTAATACAACCACTATGGAAAACAGTATGGAAATTCCTTAAAGAACTAAAAGTAGAACTACCAATTGATCCAGCAATCCCACCACTGGGTATCTAAGCAGAGGAAAAGAAGTTATTATACAAAACATATACTTGCACATGCATGTTTATAGCAGCACAATTTGCAACTGCAAAATTATGGAACCAGTCCCAATGCCATTAGTCAACAAGTGGATAAAGAAATTATGGTGTATAGATACATACAATGGAATACTACTCAGCCATAAAAACGAACAAATTAATGGCATTCACAGAAACCTGGATGAAACTGGAGACTATTATTCTAAGTGAAGTCACTCAGGAATGTAAACCCAAACATCATATGTTCTCACTCATAAGTGGGAGCTAAGCTATGAGGATACAAAGGCATAAGAATGATATAGTGGACTTTAGGGACTTGTAGGGAAAGGAAGTCAGGTGGGCAAGGGATAAAAGATTACAAATTGGGTTCAGTGTATAATGCTCAGGTGATGAGTGCACCAAAATCTCACATACTAGTAAAGAACTTACTCATATAACCAAGTACCATCTGTTTCCCAAAATGTATGGAAATAAAAAATTTAAAAATAATAAAATAATCAATAAATAAAGTTAAATGCCACTGAATGACAAATATAACCAGCCACAGGGATTATTCCCATTCTACCCAGGCATCTGCCAAGCTTCCCTAGCCTGAAGGGTAGCACAGATGGAACCTCTCTGATCATTCAAGCTTTTGTGCATGGGAGAAGCTACATTTACCTTCCAGCAATCATGAGTTCTTTCTCAGATGCTCCCTTGCGGACCTTGGTGTAGATGTCCATGGTGAAGAGGGTGCTGGCACTGTTGAAGATGGAGGTCAGGGAGCTCATGAGAGAGGCCAGCATGACCGACAGCATCAGGCCTCGCAATCCTGGAAAAGAAAGAGTTCTGAGTGGCATATACAGCAACTTCAGCTCTTTTGTGCTTGGAAAATACAAGGACTCAAGGTTTGTTTGCCTTCTGAAACCATGCCATGTTATCCAATTCATCTCTCCAAAAAGACTAGATGCTTTAAGAAGTGCACTACAGCTTTAAATTTATTAGCCCATTATAAACCCACAGCAGCCACAAAGAGTTGGAGACACAACATACTTGAGGTGAATACTTTGCAACTGGATGATGATGATGATGGTGATGATGGTGATGGTAGTGGTGGTGGGTGTGTGTCTGTGTGTGTGTGTGTGTGTGTGTGTGTGTATGTGTGTGTGTTTCCATCTGAGAGGATTTTTATAAGGTCTCTCACCTGAAATATTCATGATATAGCAGAAAGAGATTTAAACTATGATTCAAAAGATGAGGTTCTCAAGAAAGTAAAAAATACATCCACGGATTGGGAGAAAATATATGCAAATCATATATCTGATAAGGGCCTAGTATATAGAACATATAAAGAACTCCTAAAATTCAACAATAAAATGACAAATCACCCAATTTAAAATGCCAAAGGATCTGAATAGACACTTCTCCAAAGCTATACAAATAGCCAGTCATGACAGGAAAAGATGCTTGACATCAGGGGAATTCAAATCAAAACCATAATGGGATAATCCTTTGCACCCAATAGGATAGCTATAATAACAAATTTTTTAAAAACAGTAATAACAAGTGTGAGTAGAGATGTGGAGAAATGGGAACATTCACATATTGCCGGCAGGAATGTAAAATGGTACAGCCACTGCAGAAAATAGTCTGGGTCAGGCAGTTCTTCAAATGATTAAACATTGAGCTACCATATTACCCATCAATTCTATTCCTAAGTGGAATTTCATTTCTCTCTATCCAAGAGAAATGAAAACATATGTCTACTCAAACACTCATACATTAATGTTTGTAATATTATTACTTACGATAGCCAAAAAGGAGGAGCAACACAAAAGTCCACCAAATGATAAGTGGATAAACAAAATGCATAAACAATTGACAAATGGGTAAACATGTGATGGAATATTATTCATCAAAAAAAGGAATAACATACAAATACATGCTATGACACAGATGAACCTTGCAAACATTATGTTAAGTAAAAGAAGCAAGTCACCAAAAAAACCCCACATATTATATGATTCTATTTATATGAAATGTCCAGAATAGGCAAATCTAGGAATACAGAAAGTATATAAGTGAGAGACTGCTCATTTCATTAGCAAGTATAGGATTGCTTTTTTTTTTTTTTTTTTTTTTTTTTTTTTTGAGACAGAGTTTTGCTCTTGTTACCCTGGTTGGAGACCAAAGGCATGATCTTGGCTCACCACAACTTCTGCCTCCCAGATTCAAGCAATTCTCCTGCCTCAACCTCCCGAGTAGGTGGGATTACAGGCATGTGCCACCATGCCCAGCTAATTTTTGTCTTTTTAGTAGAGATAGGGTTTCTCCATCTTGGTCAGGCTGGTCTTGAACTCCCAACCTCAGGTGATCGGCCCGCCTCAGCCTCCCAAAGTGCTGGGATTACAGGTGTGAGCCACTGTGCCCAGTGGGTAGAGGATTCCTTTAAAGCATGACAAAAATTTTCTAAAATTTATTTCAGTGATGCTTGCGCACACAATTGAATATACTTTAAAACCCACTGAATTGTACATTTTAAATGAGGGAATTGTATGGTGGGTGAATTTGAGCTCAATCACCTTTTTTAGTTTTTTTTAAGACAAGGCTCTATTTCTAACTCTGATCTTAAGCAAGCTGCATCAAGCTCTAGATCTCATTTCTTGATATGTTAAATGAGGATACTTTCCCAAATCAGAATACAGACTACTACATCTTCCCAAATCAGAAAATGGAACTCTTGTTATTGAAGTTTTCCTAGTCATAGGAAGCCTGGTTGGCTATAATCTCTATTATTCTTCCCATTCCAAGGAATATACATGGGTGCACCTGCTGAGGCTAGAAGGCCAGGCCAAGCTGAGGACTCACTATCAAGAGTTTTACAGTCAAAAAAAAGAAAGAGTTTCACAGTCTCAGGAGTAAAAGTAACCTTAGGATCACCTAGACCTGTCATCCATCTGATACATGAATCCCTCACAACACTTACTCTGTCCAAACTCCACAGCAACAGTAAATCTCCTACCCTACAGGGAACCTGGCCTCAGACAGTTCTGAGGAGGCTGAAATTTACCCTTCTATGGCATCAGGTGTAGTCCTCGTGGTACCCAACAGAACAGGTCTTACCCCTTATCCACTTTGCCATCTTTCATATATTCAAAGACAACTCATGTTTCCTTGAACTCTCTCTTCTCTGTATTCCTATATAACTGCATTTGAGAGACCCAAATATTTAGAACTTCACTTATACCTCTTAAACTTCAGCTTGTTAGAGCTGAGTCAACATTCATACTTCCTGAGGTCCTTTTGGAACATGATTCTGTCATTCCTCTAGGTTTCATATATTTAAATAATTTACGGTCTCACCTACAGCCTTGCAAGATTAATTATAAAGGCTGCCTATTCTAATTATTTCGTCATTTGTTGAGAGGATTTTTTAAATGGTTCTTTCTGAGTTTGTGTATGTACATTACAAACTATTGGCAATATAGAAGAAGTTATAAAAATCATCAAGTCCAATTATCTCATTTTTCAGTTGATAAAACAAATGTCCATTTCAAGAAGTTAGTAAAAAGGGCTTTCAGCCCTAGCTCTGCCACTTATTCAGGGTTACTTTGCCCTGAAATTTGTAAGCTGGGACAGAACTTTCCCCTCTGTAGACACTCCTATCAAACCCCCATTCATTTATTTACTCAACCAATATTTGCTGAACATAATTTTACAGTAGCCCAGGCAAAAAACAATGATCTATCAGACTAGAGTAACATAAGTAAAAACAGAGAGAAGTACACTAGGAGACAATTTGATGTGGATTGATGGGAGGATCACCTACTTGCTAAGTGGAGAAGGCTGAATCTGCAAACGGAATGAAAAGGAGTGGCCAGGCCAGGTGCAGTGGCTCACACCTCCAATTCTAGCACTTTGGGAAGCCAAGGCAGGCAGATCACCTGAGGTCAAGAGTTTGAGACCAGCCTGACCAACATGGAAAAACCCCATCTACACTAAAAATACAAAATTAGTGAGACATGGTGGTGCATACCTATAATCCCAGCTACTCAGGAGGCTGAGGCAGGAGAATCACTTGAACCCAGGAGAATCACTTATGGTGAGTTTAGATCACATCACTGCACTCCAGCGTGGGTGACAAGAGCAAAACTCTGTCTCAAAAAAAAAAAAAAAAAAAAAAAAAAAAAAAAAAAGCAGGGGCGGGGGGGAAGGAGCAGCAAAGAGGATGGGGAAAATTTGAAAAGACAAACAGACGAATATAGTATGATGGAATCCAAGGGAAGAGAACAACTAAAGAAGAATGAGAGATCAATAATGCTGAATGCCACTGAGGGGTCAAGTAAAGTGAGGAATGGAAAATATCTATTTGGTCTAGCACACGGAGGTCATTAAGAAATGCAGTAGGTCAGGCGCAGTGGCTCAGGCCTGTAATCCCAGCACTTTGGGAGGCCGATACAGGTAGATCACTTGAGGTCCGGAGTTTGAGACCAGTCTGGCTAACATGGTAAAATACCATCTCTACTAAAAATATAAAAAAAGTAGCGGGGCATGGTGGTGCATGCCTGTAATCCCAGCTACTCCAGAGGCTGAGGCAGGAGAATCGCTTGAACCCAGGAGGCAGAGGTTGCAGTGAGCTAAGATCACACCATTGCACTTCTAACCAGATTTGTTTCCCTTGAGCCAGAATTAGGAGATTTTTCTTCAATGTGAAACATGACTGCAATCCCACAGGTCAACTGCAAAACTCTAGCTATTCAGAGTGCTCACTCAATCTTCTAGGAAAACAGATTCTTTTTTTTTTTTTTTTGAGTCAGAGTCTTGCTCTGTCACCCAGGCTGGAGTGCCGTGGCATGATCTTGGCTCACTGCAACCTCTGCCTCCCAGGTTCAACTGATTCTCCTGCCTCAGCCTCCTGAGTATCTGGGATTACAGACGTGCACCACCTCGCCTGGATAATTTTTGTATTTTTAGTAAAGAAATCTTGCCTCTTTCCTTACGTGTTTCTTTGGAAGAGCACAGAAGTCAATTCATTCTCCAGGTAAAACCCCTTGGACCTAGTTCAAGCCTTCATGTTAACATCTGTTGGAGAGCTTTTTAAAAATACACTTTAATTGGCAAGTAAAAATTGTATATATTGAGGTTGTACAATATGATGTCTTGAAATATGTATACATTGTGGAATGGTTCAATTGATCTAATTAGCATAGGCATTACCTTACATACTTGTCACTTTTTGTGGTGAGAACACTTAAAATCTATTCTTGCAATTTTCAAGTATACAATACATTGCTATTAACTATAGTCACTATGTTGTACAATATATCTCTTGAACTTATTCCTCTTAACTGAAATTTTGTATCCGTTGACGAACATCTCCCCCGCTCCCAACCCCAAGCCCTAATAACTACCATTCCACTCTCTGCTTCTACAAATTTGACTTTTTCGTGAGATTATGTGGTATTTGTCTGAGTCTAAATTATTTCACTAAACATAATGTTTTCCGGGTTCATTTATGTTGTCATAAATGACAGAATTTCCTTCTTTTGGAGACTGAATAGTATCCCACTGTGTATATACTACATATTACATTTTCTTTATAAATGACAGAATTTCCTTCTTTTGGAGACTGAATAGTATCCCATTGTATATATACTATTTATTTCATTTTCTTTATCCATTCATCTATTCATTCAGTGATGGGCACTTATGTTGCCTCCACATTTTGACTATTGTGAACAATGCTATAGTGAACATGGGAGAGCAGATATCTCTTCAACATGCTGATTTCATTTCCTTTGGATATATGCCCAGTCATGGGATTGCTGGATCATATGGTAGTTCTATTCTTAATTCTTTGAGGGACTGCCATCCAGTTTTCCATAATGGGTGTCCTATTACATCCACTGTTGGAGAGCTTTGAAAGACTTTCAATATGCGTTAGGAAAAGTCATGTTTTTTCTCTAACGAGTTTTCAGATCATCTCCTTTCCAAGCCTGACTGATGGGCAAGTCCCAGAACTCATAAACCCAACCAAGTCATATGTCTCCTTCCCACTGAAAGAGAACATGTCCAAAAACTGAAGATACCCACAATGATGCTTTCCCTCCTAACCCCCCAGTTAAGAAATAGCTTTGCCCAGAAGGTCCACAGAAATCTAGGTGATGCCTAAACCCAATCAGCCTCCCAAGAAAGACCGTACAAACCTCTCAAGAAAGATTCTCACCATTGGGCATGAGCTCCACCACCAAGGTTGGATAGGCGATGTTGGTACAGCCAACCTTGGTACCGCAGTATTTCTCACATTCTGAGGGGACAACACAGGCAATTTTGTCTGGGAAGAGATGAAGAGCCATGTCAGCAAGCAGACATTGGGAAAATATTTCCTAAATTCATCTTCTTAAAACAAGGCTTCAAACAGGATATTCTTTCCCAAGGCCCTGAAATGGTTTCTCAAGAGTACACCTCTCCACAGAGCCCTTTGGTGCCTGCCTGTCCTGCCCTGCTGACCCTGATACATTGATGATGATCTCTGATCAAAGAAGAAAGACAATTTCTAGGCAAAGGAGGAAAGGAATCAAAGAAACGCTCAGGGTGGGAGAAAAGGGGCAAGAGATTGAGCAACAATTGAGCAAATATTATTAGGGAGAAGTGACCTGGAGACATGTCATAACTTGAGAAGATTTGAAAAAAAAAAGAGAGAGAGAGAGAGAGAGAGAGAGAGAGAGAGAAATCAATTGTCAACATAAAAATACCATGGAAGACAATTCCAAAAGCTCCCTCAAGTTGCTCTTTGTCTAGCAGAGGAACAATAATGCGTGTATATGAATACAAGAAATAAAAAAGAGGACCAGTCGTGGTGGCTCATGCCTGTAATCCCGGCACTTTGGAAGGCCAAAGCAAGAGGATCGCTTGAGACCAGGAGTTCAAGACCAGCCTGAGAAACACTGCAAAACCCCATCTCTAAAAAAAAAAAAATTTAAGTTAGGCAGCCATAGTGGTACACACCTGTCCCAGCTGCTCAGGAGGCTGAAGCAGGAAGATCACTTGAGCCCAGGAGTTGGAGTTGGGGACTGCAGTGAGCTATGATCATGCCACTGCACTCTAGCCTGGGTGACAGAGACCCAGTCTCAAAAAAAAAAAAAAAAAAAAGGAGGAAGCAGGAAGCTATAGAGCTTTAGAAGTGACTTGGAGACAGAAGAAGGGAGAGTGACCTGTGAGTCCAGAAGTTATTACCTGTGTACAGAATGCGGCTGATCATTCCTGGCATCACCATGATGAACATGGGCAGCAGCTTCAGGTACCCACACAGGGTGCAGCCGGCCTTCACATGAGACATATTCTTGGCTGAGAGGCAGCGCTGCACAATGACCTGCCAGAAAAAGCCCAGTAGGGGAGGTGTGCAGACCAGAGAACCTGTGACACCCTTGTACTTCCCAGCTTTACCATCCTGGGTCCTTGACCTGGCACTCCTGTGTCACTGGGGTGTGGCAACTCACAAACCACCTGAGCTCTCCCCTCCCCATCCCAAGCCTACAAACCACAGACAGACAGGAGTTCCTGTAGTGCCCAGGGGAAGACTCTGTCCATCCCGCACATCCAGCTTGGGTACCTGATCTGTGCACCAGTACCACAGGGCAAGGATGGACATCCCAAAGATGAGCCCAGGCCATGGCAGGTCTCCCTTGAGGGGATCTCGGAAGATGTGGAAGGAGTCGGCCCTTGGCAAGTAGCATTCTTCCTTAACGGTGGTGTTGCCATCAGAAATCACAGTTGGAATGGCATTCATGTATTTTTCCATGAAGGCGTCATAGCCTCCCACTTCATGAAAAGCTGGAACACATTGGTACAGAAATGAACATTCTGAAACATTCAACTCTTCATAGCAGCTTCCTTCCATAGATGCCTGAGAAACCAAAAGGACCTAACCCACGACAGAGCCCTCACTGAGTGTCACTGGGCAAGTCACCTTCCCATTCTGAGCTACAGCTTTCTCATCCATAGAATGAGAATAATAGTCCGGCCCGGCTCCCTTTGGGGGCTACTATGGGGACCAAAGCAATAACTTGTAAAAGTGCTCCAACTTTAAACCTCTTTATAATAGGGAAACGACCTTTATTTAATCAAAGAAAGACTTCAATTTGGGACTACATATAAAGACCCTGGTTTTTTCCCTCACCCTCTGATGTCAGCCATGGCCTTTTGGGACCTTGGACCCAGACCTACTACCCCTGGACCCAGCAGTGTGGTAGGATGTACAGGAAATGAATAAGAAATCTGGAACCTGCCACCTCTCAATTGTGTGTCCTTGAATAAGTCATTCCACTGCCTGCCTTGCTAACACCCAGGGCCTACTGGGGAAAACCAAATGAAAGTCCTTAGAAAACAGAAGGGCGGAAAGCAAATACAAGCCTTTGAAGGATACACAGTGAGCCTTGAGCATCTAGAAATAAAATGTACTTTCTATCCTCCCATAACAAGTATCCTTAACATCTGGCTTTTCCAATCTCGTCCGTGAGATAGACAAATAAAATTGCAACAACAACAACAAAAAAATGGAGGGTCAACACTGAGTAGCCAAGTTTTAAATTTTGCCAAATAGGGACATTAAAGGGAACATTAGCATCTACTATCAACAATTTATAAAAGAAAAGACATTTGACATCAAAATGTAGATAAGATATAGCCTAAGATTAAAAACACAACGTTTGAATAGATTTAGTTTGACGGATATTTAGCCTTATCCTTTTTTGTCCAGTTTCTCTGCAGACAGAACACCATATTATCACAGGCTCACAGCACAACCACTAGCCCAGACTGGTAAGAGAGGGAAGCGGAAAATCCAGGACCAGCCCCTACCTCAGTCTTTCAGGGATGAGGAAGCTGACCCAATAAGGGTTGGACTTTTATTTCTCACATCTCTACAATGATAGGCCATCTAGGCTGGACCCTCCCTTTGGAAGGGCAGAGCACGCCTCAGCTCACTGAGAGAGAGTGGGACTTGCCTTTCTCTTTCTGAGGCCCTCTATCTCTGCTCCCACCTCCTCAGCCTGCCCTGGCCCTACTTACCAAACCCAGTCAGGATTAAAGATCCCACCAGCATAATCGCCGTCTGCAAGGTGTCCGTGTAAATCACCGCTGCCAGTCCCCCTAAGCAGGAAAGAAGAAAACACACCTGACCTCGTAGAGAGGGCGACCTGTCTACCTGCTTCCTTCCGCACTCTCTGCTCTCTGCCTCCTGCTGGCCTTCTGAGAACACCCCCCAGTCGTCCACCTGCCTTTCCTTCCTTCCATCCCTTGTCCTGTTACAGTATTCTGCTACTGAGCATGTTCCCACAGCTCCACCTGTCATAGAAGTGGAGAATGTTTCTCCCTACTTGAGGGTAGAGTCTGGCATGACCCTTTTGAACCAGAAGATGGCTTAAAGGAGATGGCTCCTCTGTGGTAAAAGGAAGCATCTTCCACACAGGAGGCAAGGAGGAGCAAAGAGCTGGCTGTGGAGATGGTGGGACATCACCAAATTGGCACATTTCAAAGGGCCACTTCTATGTCCACCTTTCTCTCAATTCCCAAAGCTGTGGAGTTCCAATCAAGCAGCAAGTTCCAAAGCTGATCCCTCCCACTTCCAACAAGGAGGCAGAGTGACCTTTCTTCTAAGGAGCCCCAATTCCTATTCATGCACCAGCTTCTTGGGTTGCCACTTGAGTCTTCCTCTAAAACCTCTGTGTGTGAGTCACTTCCTTTCTCCCTCCCTACAGGGGCTCCCGGTCCCTGACACATCAAATCCAAGACCTCTGTCTGGCTTTCAAAGCGCCTATACTGTGACCTCATTTGAACTATCAAGCCATATGGTCCCCACAAACCCCCATGATCCTTCAATGACTAACCTCCTCCAGCCAAGAGCATCTGTATGCCCACCCTGCGTCTACTCCCCTGTGCTCACTTATTTCTGCACCCTCTACTGCCCTGATTCTCCCACCTTAGCTACATCATCTCCACAACTCACAGGGTGCAGCTTTGCATGCACTCCTGTGAGAAGCTGCCTTGACTATCCCAGCCAACACTGCAGCTTTCTGAAACCACTCACATAACTTACAGGGTCTGTGAGTGGGGACTAAGCAAATGACCCATTCCCAAACTGTTATCTGAGTATATCTTTCCTCCTCAAGAGGAGAAACCACCTCTCCTACTTGGATTTATCCTTAACTAGTGTCTAATCCCAAGCTGGGTTTGATGTGCTGGTTCATTTGAATGGACTCACCTGTAATTGTGTAAAGGGCAGTGATTGCCAATAAGAGAAAGATGGCCAAATACAGATTCAGGCCTAAGGCCAGATTGATGAATATGGCCCCCGAGAAGATGTCTGCCTGGAAGGAGAGGAGAGGCGAAGTTAGGAGGGACAGAGGTCAACTGCTTACAGGGTCTATGGTCTCTCTATTCTTGATTTTCCAAGCAAGCTTTATTCAAGATGATAATAGGTATTCCATGAGAAAAATAATTCCATGGTCAAAAAGGTCTGTAAAATGTTAAACAGAGTTAAGGCAGTTTCTTTGCCACAGAACTTTTCTGACCCTTTAACATACATCATGTATGGTCATCCCCAGCAGGGGAACATGGTACGTGACACCTCACAAACTCATTGAACTATGGAATCCTTTTTGTCAAGGAACAACTATTAACACTTAGAGGTTCCTTGCAAGTGAACTGTAGACTGTTGCGCTGAGCTATTGTCCATCTTTTGCACCTCAGTGTACAAAGGTTTATAGGAACTCATTCCCAAAAGCAAATCTGAGTGCTGGAGAGTCCATGAGTGGGAAACCCACCCCCACCCAGGAGTGGAGAGAAACTTAGCAAGGTCATACTTTTATCTCCCCAACCCAGATGCAGTCCATCTTGACTCAAACACAACCAGAACGTCACCAAGCACCTCTTACAGAGCAGGCTTGGTACTTGCTGGTTTTATTTAGGTTACTTCATGTAATTTTTGAGAGAACTGCTCCCTCTTCACTCCTGAATTCTTCATGCAATTCTTCCACCTTCACCCTTTCTCCTCCTTCCTGTCACTTTCAGCTGTCTCCTAATGAACCTTCTACCTGGCTGGATGGTGCAGTTGTTCATATAAACCAGCAGAGAGCACTAGGGTCACCCCAAATACAGGTTCATGTCATCTCCAAAACAGTATCAGGGAGGGTAGTATTAAGGGATGATCATGGTGAGTCTTTTGTTTTCAAATCTCCAGGTGTGGGAGAAACTGGACTTCCTTTAGATGGAATGAAAGCAGGAGCTATCTCACTGCACAAACCCTAACATTTCACAGCATGCAAATGGCACCAGGCAGCGCCTTGGGGATGGGCCAGCAGGGTTGGACTCTTATTTCTCACATCTCCTCTTACATCTTTCATCTCCTCTCCAGTCTCATTTCCCAGTCCCCATCCCATTGCTGATCCTGAGGGCCCTCCAGTGTTTAAGGTTCTCCACCATACTTGCCTGCCCCTCCTCTGAGAATCTCTTACTCCCTCCCTCCGTTAGTTAGCAAAGAGTACATCTAATACCAAATCCATGCTTCTAAGCTAACATGTGAGCCCCAGAGGGTGAGTGAGTCGACCCCCTCCCCCAAGACAGGACTTTTGTGGACCAGATACCTTAGCTCCCCTCTGCCCAGATCTCCCCTGAAGATTCCCTTGCCTAGGGGACCCAGTGTCACCATCTTTCTTGGTGAAGGAGAGGAGGTAGAGCCAGGAGGTGGGAGGAGAGACGGTGAGTTAGAAATAAACTCCTCTCCCTGGGGCTGGCAGTCAGAAGAACCAGCATTTTAGGCCCAGTGCCACCATTCTAGGCCTGTGAGCCTTTGGGCAAAACATTTCCCCTCTCTAATTCTCAGTGTCCTCATCTTTATATAGGAAGTTCTGGCTCCAGAGGTTTGTGATTCTCAGTGGTTGGAAGTGGGAAAGGCCTGCAGTGAGGAAAGAATTCTCCTCCTGGCTCCTGGACCACTTCCATTCTGCCTTTCCCTCTGCAGTGTCCCAAGAAGAAGAAGGGGCCCCTGCTGCACATAAGTCTTACCAAAGGTTAAATGGCCACTTCTTCCTGTCTCTGCACACTGGGCCACTTGAAATCATAATCAATATTTATAATGCTGGTCCCTCTCCTCTCATGCCTCTATACAGTCACATAAAGTTATCTAAATTCAAGGGGCCCCATTCACTGATTGCAGTAAAATTCTGTTAAATGCACACACTTTAATTTGGTGGATTAGCTAATAAGTATAAATAAGCTAGGAAACAATTACAAAGCTGATACTGCCTTTAAAATGCCCTTGGTTCATTTATTTTCCAGCATAGTTAATTTTTAATGCTTTATGACAACACACCATAGTAGACTATGATATCTTCATTAATATGTGCCTTGCTGTCATTAGTCACAAATAAGTAACACATAAGTTCTAAGATAATGCTATAAACGACCTCTATAAAGACTTCTGAAATGTATTGGACTAACAGAAATCTTGTTTTTATGATATTCTATTTTTTTCTAACAGTACAGATAAAGAATTCTGAGGAAACCTCCCTGGTGAACTGAAGAAACCGAGGACAAATTCTTCCTCATATGTGTCATTCTAACTTCAGAGATGAATTCTGCCCTGGGCATGCCAAAGGCCAGCCTGGAAATTCCTTACCCAACCTTACGTAGGTGACTCCAGCTGAGAAAACCCACTCTAGTCTGGGTGCTCTGACAGTAGTGTTTATTTCTTCCAGTGGGTTTATTAGCTGCCAAATGAATCCACTAGGGTTGTTTTGCTTTTTTTTCTTCATGTTCAGAGACTTTTACAGTTTACCAAAGACTTTCAAGTGCATGCATTATTTTGATCCTCAAAACACCAAAAAGTAAGGGACCTCCTTTCTGGAATATTTTCTGCAGAGAACAAGGGTTTTGGTTTGTTTTGGTTTGGTTTTTTTTTAACAACAAAAAAAGTGTATAAGTTACTTTTAAAATAAGAACTCAAATAAAATAATGTATGTGTTGGGGATTAAAAATAAACAACAGGGGCTGGGCACAGTGGCTCATGCCTATAATCCCAGCACTTTGGGAGGCAGAGGCAGGTGGATCACTTGAGTTCAGGAGTTTGAGACCAGCTTGGCCAACATGGTGAAACCCCATCTCCAAGAAAAATACAAAAATTAGCCAGGTGTGGTGGTGCACGCCTGTAGTCCCAGCTAATTGGGAGGCCAAGGCAATAGAATTCCTTGAACCTAGGAGGCAGAGGTTGCAGTGAGCCAAGATTATGCCACTACACTCCAGCTGGGGTGACAGAGCAAGACTCTGTCTCAAAAACAAAAAAAACTTTTTTTAAACCATTGAAGTTATACATTGAAAAGTAAAAGTAGCCCAAAAGTGACCACCGTCAAGAGACTTTTGTCCACCAGAGGATTTTTAAATGGCTTTCTAAAAATTATATGTCAACAGTTATGTTCTACAGCCCCTAAAAATAATAATTATAAAAATGGAAACTGGAACAATGTTTACATTTGATGGTAGGGGTGAGGAGAAGACAACAAAATGGTGTGCATATTCTAATTGCAACTTTGTGAAAGAATACACACAATTTGAGCAAGGCCAAAATATGAAAATATTTGTAATGGAGGTTATGGGTGCATCTCCCACCCCAAGATTTTTAAATGCCAATGTTACATTTTTCCTACAGTTTCAAAAGTGCAGGGATCAGAAATTTTAAAACACAATATATTGTTTATGGATATATGGGTACCCATACATATGTGGTAAAAATATCAAAACATAGACTAGAAGAATTCATACCAAGTTCAAGATAGCATTTTCCTCTTAGGAAGAAGGAGAATGGGACCAAGAAAGGGTGTAACTAGATCTTCAGCTATATCTGCAATGTTTTATTGCTTTTCTACAAATAATAAATGGTTAAGATCTATAAAATCTGAGTGGTAGATATAAGAGTGTTTGCTTTTTCTTTCTGCATTGCTACATGTTTTAAGTATTTCATTAAATTTTTCACTTATAAAAATAGGGGACTGTATAGGGATTTACAGCACCAACTTGGATATAAAAGAACTGTCCTATAATCCTATGAGACCATTTGTTTCACAGCTCATCCCAGATTGCTCTTTCCCTAAACTACTGTTAGCTCTTAAAAGACAGTCAGAGGGAAGGAGTGAGGGAGGGATGGAAGGAAGGAAAAGAAGAAAAAGAAAGGGAAGAGAGAGAAAGAAAGGAAGAAAGAAGGGAGGGAAGGAAGAAGAGGAAAGGAAGGGAAAGGAAACAAGAGAAGGAAGTGAGAGGGAGGGAGGGAGGGAAGGAAGAAAAGAAAGGGAAGGGAACAGAGGGAGAGAGAGAAAGGAGGAAAGGAGGGAAGGAAGGAAGACAGGAAAGAAGGAAAGAAGGAGAGAAGGAGGGAGGGAGAGAGGGAAGGACAGGAAAAGGGAGAAAGGGAGGGAGAGAGAGGGAAAGGGAGGCAGAAGGGAAAGAAGAAAATCTCTGTAATGTTACTAAGCAAAACCAACTTGAAGTGAAATTTAAAATTATGGTCTTCTAGGTCAGGCATTGGCAAACTTTTTCTGTAAAGGGTCCAGGAGTAAATATTTTATGCTTTGCATTGACTGTCTCTGTCACACTCTGCCATTAAAGCATAAAAGCAGCCACAGATAACACAAACAATGAGTTTGGCTGTGCTCCAGTAAAACTTTACTTACAAAAACAGATCATGTGTTGGATTTAGCCCAGGGGTATTTTTCCTATCACTTTGAAAATTGGGCTGAACAATGTGCAAGGGACTTGTGGGGAATAAAAATACAGACCCCAGTTGGAAAACATCTGCAAGTAACTGCGTCTCTGATTGGGAGTTTTGGGCATGTCGCTTTGCCTTGGCTCTCCTGTTTTGAGATTCTGTGATTTTATGTGTTTGCTGCCCATTCTAATCTTAACCAAGATATATCAGAGCACTCGATAAATCCTGCCTAGCCTTGAGTTTTCAGAGGGAGAAGCCCTATTACTCAAATTTCTCTTTCCACTTGTAAAAGTGAGTGGCACCAGGATTAAGCATTCAAATCTTAAGCAAAAGCAAAAGCTCTTCTTTCCACCCAAGGATCCAAAATGGACAGCAGAATTGCTGTGAACATTTATTATAGGTGTGATCTGTGATAACAGCCCCAGGAAACACAAACGGGAAAATGAACATTCAGTCATCACATGTAAGTCATAAAATCTGAGGGCTTTTTTTTTTTTTTTTTTTTTTTGAGACGGAGTTTTGCTCTTGTTAACCAGGCTGGAGTGCAATGGCGCGATCTCGGCTCACCGCAATCTCCGCCTCTTGGGTTCAGGCAATTCTCCTGCCTCAGCC